CCCCGCCTCCTCTGCTGAAGGGGTTCAGGTAGCATTTGTCCTGCTGTAGAAAACTCTGTTCAATAAGCCCTTCGTCCCACTCTCCAGTCGTCGCTACAAATTAGGGTCGGCTAGCGAGGGAGGAGGGTAGCGGGACAACCCGAGAACGGGGAAGTAGCGGGGTGCCCAAGACAGGGGTAGGTGGGACTGGCGATGTAGTGACGAACGGAGAGAAAAATCCCCCTCCCCCTTTCTCCAGGAGATCGTCCTAGATCAGCCTATGCTATATATGCACGTTCAAGCTGGGATACTGTGGCTTCGTTTTAACTCAAAGTAGTACTTATTAGTAGCCGTACTTTTATGAGCACATTTGCTGTCCGTGTGCTAAGCAGCAGTACGTTTAAAAAGAGCTTTGTGTTGCAGAACTGTCGACATCGTTTTCGCTAAGATGTTTAAAATTTGCGAGAGCTACTGTTTGTGTGCAACTCAAGAAGCGCAAATTATCGTTCATTCGCAAATTATCGTTCATCTTACACACACAGATTATAAGATTTTAACTCATGAAGCAGGATCAGACTGTACTTTTAGATAAATGCTTGCTGGAAAGCGCGCAGTGAGCTTTCGCGGACACATCAGATCGCATCGGCATGCGTTGACAACTACTTATTTTTATCAAAAAATCGTTATGCTGGGCTCGGTAAACAACAAAGCTTATTCCGACAAACCAGTATAGCCAATCAGTGTTATATAGCGCCTCTTGCAGCCCTCAACACGGAAAAACAAAGAATATAGATCCCGGCTATGGCGCGGTTGCGAAGTGGTGACGGCGCAGTGAAATACTACTGCCCCATTCGTTCGTTCTGACTTATATAGGCAGATTATCTGGTAGGCGCTTGTTCGCCGTATTCTTCGCGCTGTTCCGATCCGGGCGATGGGTCTTTCGCCCCTCTCCCTCTCCCTACCCTTCCCCGAGAGCGGCACAGACATCAGTGCTGCAAAAGCCCGAGTCTGTTTATAAATTAAACTAAAGCAACTCTAATCAGCAGCGGCACACCTCTATTCTTAGTTATTGTATGGCTCTAGGATGGGAAGGGGACTCTCCTTCTCACCTCTCTCGCCGACCCCAGGAGCTCTTACCCTTCACCCCTCCCCCCCGCTCGTTTTCCCGGCAGGAGCCCCACTTTCCCCGCCTCGCTCCCACCCCCTCCCCCGCCTCCAGGAGTTTGTCCTGGATTCGCCTATGCCGACCATAAAACTTATTAATCAAAAGTGGCTAATGATCGTACCGTTCCCGTCCTTAAAAATGTTTTAACGGTGCATCTGTGAGGAAATTTAGCTAAGTTTTAGATATATCGTGGTTTGAAGAAAGCGTTTTGGATGTTAATGGCAATTCCGATCAAAAGCGCAAGCGACTGGCATGAGTTTTCCGAGGAAATCAATGATGTGATGCTGAATTTCAGGATGTGGCGTTATTCAGTGCTATGCTTTCACGCACTTTTACTTGCAGTGCTCATCACATTGTGCGTAGCTAAACGGGATCCTCAATTACCCGCCAGTTTTTGGGCACAATTTACACAGCCACGCATTGCACGTCGTTATATTAATGATGACAACATGTATCGGAATGTAATGAATTATCAGCAGCGCATGGATGAACTCGATGGTACGCTAGGTCTACAGCGATACTACCAGAACTACGTTCACTAGAAGCGATCTCCTTATGCGCATTTCAAAACTGCACGAAAAAGAGAAGAGGCAAAGCAACAACGGATTTATTGTTTTTCTGTAAAATTGCATGCAACTATGCCGTCACATTTCATGCTGTTCTTTTGTAATAGTAAATGTAAATCTGATGCATAAAAATGGCATGTGTTCGCGGCAGCAGCAGAAGCTTTAGCAACATAGCAGCCGTAGCAACAGCAGCCATTTCTATCATACCACTCATTATCATGGCGCTCGGCATTTTGAAATGCGTCTAATCCTTCGGCTAAAAAACATAATTATCATGTTTATAGCTGAAACGTTACCTTACTGGCAAAAACAAATTATACTAAGTTAACTGCACTAGCAGCAGATTGCTACTTGCGAAGCTAAAAGAAGCCGGCTGGTCACATTCTACCTCATGTGTCAATAATGAATTTCGCTTATGAATTACAGTCTTGAAGAAGTTTCGGAGAAAAATAACTTAAGGGACTCATCATGATAGAAAGCTAATATTTCAAAAGAATGTTCTCTGTCTTCATGCGAGCCAAGGATTCGAACTCAGCTGTCACGTATGCTTGCGTCATGCGTACAAATAAGTTGAGTGTTGTCGCTAGCACTATGCCAACTCGAAAATTAGCTAGAAAAAGATAAATAACATTTTGCGGGATTTTTTACGCATATGTACAGTCTCCCATATTTTATATAATTGTAGAGAGAAGCTAGATTTATTTTTCAGAAACGCTTAGGCTTCGCGTTAAGCGCAAGTAAAATTCCAATTCTGGATAATTCTAGCATTCATTTACCTCTCTAATCAGACTGGGAAGGAAGCAGCAATTTTGTGATGATGTTTGCTATCCATGTTGTTGTGGATAGGCCATTAATCTTGCTCATCTTCCGGAAAGATTATTGGCACATAGTCCGCGTGCCGTGTCGCGACACATCACGAGTCCAGATCGATCAAAAACAAACTGCACCGACTCAGCTTGCACCAACCGGTGAATTTCAAAGACATTCAGCGAGCTTCGTAACTCTGCATGATGTATTTGGAGCTCCTAATAAATTGTCGTATTCACGTGTATTCCAGGACATAGTATATGTTCAGGCCTGTAAGCACAAAGCAGGCTTCCGTTTGCGCATCTTCTTGCATACGGATTGGTCAAATGTTCAAATTTCAGAACTTTTGTCATCTTTCTATCTTGGTAGTCAGACAAATAAGAAAATAGAAATTTTGCGAGAATGCTGACATATCTTGTGCTTCATTAAAAACGTAAAATCGGTTTTCATAAATGCCTAAAAACATAAATGCCTATGCTTTTCGTACGGATGCGACGAACTTATGGATGTTTTTCTTTTCGTAGGCAATCCTTGCTGGAAGCTGAAATTTCATGCCACCTTACAATGCAGTACTTCTGCCCAGTCGAACCTCCTTTCTCCCCGTGTGCGGAAGAAGACGAAAAACATTGCCAGTATGGGAGAATATGTTCAGCTGCAAGGCAACAACCATTCAGAATGTGAGTGATCAGATTGTCTCAAGATCTGTGCAGAAACACATGACCCCATCGAAACTCCCAATGCACGTTACTACCTGGATTATTGTATTAACCGGCTTAAAATGAAGTCTTGACAAAAAAGGTTGAAAAACTCGTTCTATCAACATTAAGCATAAATAACATACATGCAGTTTTTGCAGGATTGCGACAGCGTTTCGCAGGCTACTATGGTATTAACATTTATTGTTAGATTAATTTGACAAACGTAATATTATCTTTTATTCGCATCTGCAGACTGCGCAAAGAATATTAAGCTCCTGAGCGGGTGGGAATAAACGAAATTTGCTGCGAACGAATATACATAAGTAGAAAATAGAAAATCATTGGCGACGCGCACTGGGGGGCCCCGTGCGATCATGCGTTTTTGCAGTGTTTCGTACTG